TCCCCCTAGAGCCTCTGGAGGGAGTAAGATGAGATGGTCATATATGGTATCTATAGCCAGAAGTTTTCTTTTCTCCCCTCTAATGTATTCAAGGGATGAAACAAACAGCAGCAAAACTTGGTAGTGTTGCAACTTATCAAAGGGGCACAACGTTGACTGAAGCCTCCCAAAGAGAGCTGAAATGTGCCTCCCTCTTCCCCCGCCCTTCGCAGATCACTACTATGAGAAGTAGAGTCTGCTGAGTCACAAGACTGGCTAGCTCTGGCCTGGCTTGTATCAGTGATAAGGGGCTGCATGAGTTAAGAAGGAAAACCAGGGATGGGTACAGAAACCACTACAAAACACACACATGTTGATGTCAGGAGACAGCCTTCTCCAAGGCCGCTTTGTCCGTTTGACTATAATGTCCACTCTTGGGAAATTTAGAGAAGGTCAGGCAAGAATGGCTTCAAGGGTTACAAAAAAAAAATCTGCAATATAGATTCTTTTGAACAGTTCTTTTTTCTCCTTAATGGAAAAAGAAAAAGAATTATTCCAAGGTAAAAAAAATAAAGGTACTAAGTGGCAGTCACAAACACATAGCCCTAATAAGTAAAAAGAAATTAAAATGAAGAAATTGTTACTTTCATGAATTTATAAAGTCAACATGGTCTGTGGATATAGATGCACCTTAAACCTCTGTACTCTAAGTTGCAGGTTGATTTTTATACCCACATGTATAAGTCAATTGATTTATCTTCATTTAGAGTTTAGTTCCCAACCTTGTATGAGATCTTGAAACTAAGTCCTTGTATCTAGAATTCAAGATATTAGCTGAAAAGCAGTAAAGAAGTGAGAAAGCAGTGAGAAGACCTGGGTTCTAATCGCAGTTGTACCACTGAGTAACAGTGACTTGAGGAAAGCACTTGAATTCTTTGAGCTTCCATTTTCTGATCAGTAACACGGAGACCTTGAGACTCACCCCAGCTCATGAGGGTCCAGTGTAAAGGAAGGTTGCTTGTGGTCAAGCCTGACACAGATGTTCCCCTTAGCTTATCCACTACGTTCTTTCTGGAAGATGGATCCATAAGCCCGCATGAAGGGGGTGGAGGAACAGGCAATTCACATTTATCATGCTGCTTTTGTGTACTAGAACTTGAGTCAGTACTTTGTATGGTTCTGTTTAATCCTCCCAACAACTAGGAGAACAAATGTCAGTATCTCTGCTTACACATAAAACAATCAAGGCTAGGGATATTGAGGCAGCTGGCCCCCAGCCCCGAGCTGGTAGAGGAGAGAGCTGGAATTCAAACCTGAGGCCATCTTCCTCCAAAATACAAGCTCCTTCCTGACTGTCCTGCTGCTGCCATTTGTAAAAATTGAATAATAATTGAAATAAAGTTGGGGGTTGGGTTTGGATTCTCAGGTTCTTGCAACCCAGCAGAGTGTGTCTTGAGGGTCTCGAGAAGTTCTCTTGGAAGTTTTAATAAAATGTAACCAGTGAAGACAGATGGCCTCTTTATTTAAGTAGGAGGAATATTGATAATTGATAAAATTCTTATAAGAAAATGTAGACAGAGTGAGTCACTAAAGAAACTCAGAAATAACCAGAAACCAATATGGGTTTCTAGTTAGTAAATTGAATGTTCTCTGAATTGAGTAATTAAGGGGTAAATTGCTCTTTAAGAAAGTACTATGTGTGGTTTTTAATGAGGTAGTAATTCAGAACAGAATTTAAGTTTCACATTTGTTAGTGGTTTTTTTAAGAGAATAAAAGGGAGATGACTTGTATTGAAATGAGAATTGGATTTGTGACCAGGTGTCTCTTTAGCCACCTGCTTTCAGTCAAAGGTCACTGACCATCCACTGCCCAGCATTAGTTCGGCGTTCAGGTCACATCTTAGCACGTCGTACGCAAGAGAAGATCTTTATAAGTTTTTTAATATCTAAATTATAAGTGCCTTTTTTTTTTTTTTTAATATAAACCAACAAGAATTGAAGCCTTAAAGATGTTAGGTAAGAAAATGTCAGATGATAGTGCTCCTAATTGCCCTTGCCAGTAGTTCTACTAGCAAATTCTGTTAAGATCCCGGAGCTAGGGTTTTTTAAAGCTTCTAAAAGAAATGATGTTTGGCACCCATGAGCTCCTTGGCTGTTTCTGAACACTGCCAAATTGGGATGATGTTTGTTTTTTCTTTGTCATGGTGTTTACATGCCCTGGCTTGGGCCATGAGTGAAAATGTATTTGATGATCTCCTAGTTTCTCCCCAGTCCCTAATGGATGTTTGTCTAGATGACAATACTCAGTTTAGTGCTGTTAATGCTCTGGCAGCAGTATAAGACCAGCCAGGGGTGGGGGAATGTGTGTTGCGTGTGACAGTTAGGGGCATAAACAGGGAGATCAGGAATCTTCTATGAAGTAAACATCCGCTAGTTATCCAGTTCTAGAAGCATGTTTTTGTGCTCTCTGCCTCTCATAGTGCCTTAATTTAAGAAGCAGACCATAAATGTTCACTGAATCAGAGAATCTCACAACTTCATTATTGCCCCCTGGAATTCTAGTGCTGGACTTGCTCTTAGAAGCCCAGGTCTCTCAGCCTTGACAAGGACAAGCTTGCGGCAATCGGATAGTGTCATGCAGGATGAATATAACAGGCTGCTATCCAGGGTCAATTTATATGGTATTATACAGAGCATCCCTTTGTAGGTTTGACTGTGAGCTTGATGAACATAGCAGCCATTCTTCCAGATAGCATATTTAACAAAAATGTGTTCGCATTTCTGTTTTGTTCCCCATTGTCCCGAGTACTGTATGTGGCTGTGTTGGACGCAGTGGGGCCTTCCAGGAAACAGCAGGATGTTTCCAAGCAGAGCATGACAGGTCTTTAGAGGGATGTGCCTGTTCTAACCCAGGCCCACAAGCAGCCTGTGGACTGAAAAGGGGTACCATGAATTGAGCGTTGACAGCGGGCCACGGCTGTCCAAAGGCTCAGGTGGTTGTCAGCCATAAGTTTAGCTTAGCTCTTTGAGTAATTTGTCACGCCTCACTCGGCCCCTGCTGGGCCAGCACGTGCCAGCTTAGTGTCAGAGTGCCTGTTCGCCAGACGGCCACTCAGGCCTAACGTCCTGCTGTTCCCCGGACCAGCGGCTTGCTGGGGCCATGCACGGAGGGCCAAGCCGTGGCGACAGCCAAGTGCTGTGCAGAATAAGCGTGTTCATAATGAGACGTGAATGGCATTAGTGGGTCCCTCTAGAATTGGGCCTGAGCAGGCGCCTCTCGCGGAGTAAGTTTGGCAGCCTGTTTGTTAGTTAAGGCGAGCCACCGGGAGCTCAGCCTGAAGCCGAGAAGCCAGATCAGGCTCACACTGCCCAAGTCTTGGACTGTTATGATCGTCTATATCAAAGATCATAAATCAGCAGAGAGGCCACTTTTGAAATTTTGAAACTCATTTTCTGTTTATAAAGTTGCATAGAGCAAGTCTAAAGAGAATTTCTGGAATATCACTGCCCAGTAGCACTTTCCACGACAATGGGCATGTTCTATCTGTGCAGCCTAGGATAGTAACCCCTCTTGGTTACTTGGGTGCTTGAAATATAGCTTGTGGGACAGAGGCACTGAATTTCTATTTATTTTTTAATTAATTTAAATTTAAATATAGAAAACCACATGTGACTCGCGGCTGCTCTATTGGACAGCACAGCCCTAGAATGCCTCTAGTCTCCTCATGGTGTGAAAATCTTCCCCTGAATATAACTGAAAGAGAAGGAGAGGGAAGATCCTACATTGAGAAATCAGCGTGCATATTTTGCAAAAGAAAATAGAAGAATAGTTTAAAACACATGCTCTGTTGAAAGCTAATTGGAAGGTCATAATTGTCACCAACATATTTTTAAAGAGGCCATTTTGAAAAGATAGTTTTAAAATATAATGAGAAATGCTAGAATTACTTTTGTTCTTCTGGTGCTACGGATTATAGACTGATGGTGATGCACATTCCCTATGTTCCTGGCGAATTAGCATAATTTTCAAAACAACTGAAACATGTCTTTTAACTTTGGTATTGATAATGAGGAAGGGGAAAATGAGACATCATGCCGACTTTCCCAAGTGTTAATTCATAAAGTTGTGTGTGTGGTGCCTCCATCCGCTGTCAAATTGTTCTGACGTTACCCTGTTATTGGAAGTGCATGATTCACCTTCTGAGGAAACAGAAGCCACACACAAAAGAGGAAGATTTGCTTTCTGCCCTGTGAAAGGCTGCCACACACAGGGGTCCTATTAAGACAGCTGGAAAGTTGCTTCAGCGTGTTACGCTTGTAAGTTTTATTGGTGACTGGTTTTTGATTACACATTTGAATGCGTGTGTTCCAGACTGCAGTTTTAATTAAAAGGCAATAGTCTTTTTTTTTTTTTTTAATTATTGCCTTGTACACTCTCTGCTAGATTCTCCAACTTACTAGTTCTTATTTTCTAATGTTCACATCTATCTTGGCTCTTGGCTCAGGTGTCCCTTCAGAGCATACCTCCTGGCTTTCCCTCTTCCCAGTGACATGCATTTGCTTATTTTTTAAAGGCGTGTGCACCATCTTATCACTAATTCTTGCTTGAAGTATCAAATTATTTCAGGAGGCTGAGAAGAACATTTTATCAACTGAACTAGGAAGGGAAGATCCAGCATTATCACACAGTTGTCAGTAAAAAGAGATGCCATCGTAATCAGTGTCTCTGTTTTTGTTTGTTTGACTCAATCTTGATCTTTTGACATGATTCTGTAACTATTGGTGTACATATTTTTTTAGTGATACCAGTGTTAAAATCTAGGAGAAACCTACGTCTCAAAATCAGAATTTTATCACTAATGATGACTCTTTAATTCTCTGACAGGATGTTAACGAACTTACAAGGTACTTTTGCCCCCATACAATGTAAAAGTTGCATAACTCTATTTAAAACAAAGTGAACCGTCGTTGTTATGTGTGTCATTCTGCACACACACTTGTTCCTTAACCAATTACTGCAGCTACGAAGAGCGAGCTCTGTATCTCGAAGCAATAATTCAGAACCACCGCGAAGTAATGACATTTGAGGATTTTGCAGCCCAAGTCTTTTCTCCCTCTCCCAGCTACTCCCTCAGTGGAACGGGTGAGTGTCTACATTATTCTTCCCTCATGCGCTTAAGACGCACTCCAGCAGCAGATGTACACCTGTTTTTCACAGATAAATGCTTGCAAATTTAAGAAGAGCATTCTCCCTCTGAATCAACTAATGAATATCAAAAGGAATGATGACATTCATTTTAATTTGTTTTGTATCCGAGCTGTTCACTCAGTTCTTTTCTTCAGCTATCCTGTTAACCTCCGAATCTAGCAAGGTTAATGAACTTTTTCTCAGTAATGTGCTCTGGTTCATTCAGGAGTGTGGGTTTCTTGCTGAGCTGGGAATATGTTGTTTAAAAGCGATGCCCAAATCAGTGCTTACTTATCAAAAAAGAGTTCCTCGCAGTCGAAGCCGTTGCTACTAATGCTAAATGGGGATTATGCTGCCGAGATGCTCGGGTCAGGGATTAATGCAGGAGAAATGGAAGGAGAGTGTCCCCTGGCCCATCACCACAGCAGTGCAGCATGCAGGCTTTCTCTCTGGAGTGGCCTGTGTCACATGTACCAGCCGCCGACCAGAGCAACACCTGGTGTGGAACCTGTTTAGAAACTGGCTTATAATCATTTTCATTTATTAGGCAAATGGAAAATTTCAAAACTTTCCAGAATGTTCTTGTTTTTAGATTTTACTTCTTTTATATTTCTAATTTGGAAAAAAAAAGTGTACTGCCACTTAAACTGATTATATGATTACTGTGGGTTTTTTTTTTTTAAGAATAGAATTACTTTAAATTTTTGCATATAATTACAGATTAATTGCCTTTCGAAGAGTAAATGGGATATTTTAGTCAATGCATGTTGAAATTCTCAATGAGGAGCTTCCTGCTTCTTCCGCTGGTGGTGTTAGAGTGCTTAATAGATTCTAACCTGTGTCAGTTGTCTCTGAACACCGCCTTACTTCTCCTATTCTGACTCGTTAACAAATATCTTACACACCAAGTGAGAAAAATTAAATTCATTGAAATAAATCACTTACAAATAAAATCAGCCATGCATCATTGTTTAACATCGCTGGCTTCAATCCTTGCCTCTCCCAGCTTTGTTGGGAGATAAGAGGGAGAGGCTTGCACTTACTCAGGGAGCCAGGAGCAGCAGGCAGAAGGCCTGGGAGATAAGCAAGCTGGCCGAGGTACCGGAGCCGCGTGATTTACATAATCACGCCTCTGCTTCCTGGTGAGGCGTCAAGAAACACAGGATGGCCTCTATTGATCTTTGTTGAACTAGAATACTAAACAACATGAGAAAAGCTTATAACTTAATGCTTTGATTAATGTTTCTTACATTAAAAAAGTAGAACAGCTGTGAATTGAATTCTTTTATACACTCTGCCAACATTCTATCTAACACCCACCCCCCAAAAAAATCAGTTTCAAGGGAAATGAAGATTTCATACCCAGTCTAGCGAGAGGCTTAAAATCATTTCTAATTTTTAGGTGAAAGAATATAAAGGATCTACAGCAAAGCTGATTTTTCAAAGATATCATTCTGCTTTTTCCATCCTCGTGATGTTTTGGGACTTAATTTTTCAGTGCTTTTTTTTTTTTTTTAAACTCTTGAGAAAGCTTTTTGTTCCTTAAAAGAAATGAAATAATAACTAGATATTTATATTCATCAACTCAACTGTTACATTCTTAAGGCTCTTGATTACTGAAACAAATATTGATGGACTTTATTTTCTAAGTATATTTTAGCCTCTCTATAAATTTGTTTGATTTTTTCCAAACGTTTATAATTATTTAAATCAATTCAAATAAGTCAGTGTGTGGGTGACATCTTAAGTGAGACTCTAGAAATAATTTGGGTTTTTTGAGACCTGCTATTAGGAGACAGTTGCTGACAGGCTTCTCCAAGAACATCGCATTTGCCAAAGTCACTTAACAGGTAAAGGTTCTGACAGCTCATAAGAGTGGGCATTGGAACCTGCACAAAAGGAATATGAAACCAAAAATGGAATATCAAGACAAATGCTGGTCCTTCCTCTTTTCAAATTATTAACATCAGTATCACATTTCATAATGTTCGGGGTTTAGGGTATTTGGTATCGAGTAATAAAAATTTCATATAGATACCACACCAATCCATGAATGCGATTTTAAGTCTGGTCATAATGTTCTCTTTCTTTGAGTATGCCCAGACAATGATTACGAAGGAACTAGAAATGAACTTGATTTGAACTGCAGTTTGGGGGCAGTGCAGTGAGGATGGAGCATTTCCATACCACGTACAGGCACATTTTCAGAACGACATCCTCTTTTCATGTACATGCCAATTTTGCTTTTGAGGAATTTCTACCCCTGTCTGCTACCACTTTTACAGATGAAAACACTTTTCATTTATTTTGAGTGTTTTTTATTTTCTTAAGTACAATCAAACCTAGATGAGCCAGCCAGCTTAAAGTAAGAAATTAAGGTAAAGTCTGTTCTTCCAAGCAACAAGCCAACTGGAAAAATTGACCTTGAGCAGCTTAAGCTCCCATGGTGCACTTAGGACCCAATCAGTGTCATCAAAGCCAGCAGTGTCATCAAAGCCAGGCCTCAGGCTCCTGCTCACATGCATATGCACAATCCTGGGAGGAATTAGGGGCTCCCAGGTTCTCTTTGTATCCTGTAACAAGGGGCTTTGTTGTAAACACACAGGGAGAGTAACCTGAGCACTGTATTCATTCTGCGCTGGCTTTGTAGCAGCAAGCAGCCCCCATTTCTAGAATGAAGGACTCTAATCAGCCTTTAAGTCCGTGCTATAAGTAAAAGATGTGCTAAGTGGGAGTGGCCTGTGCTCAAAAAGACCACTGTTGGAAAACGCCCTCTCTTTAGACTTTCCCTACCCTAGTGCTGTTGCTCATCACTCAGGGCAGCCATAGAGGGTCACGCACGGTGGCCAAGCAAATGTGCCTCTATCCATGATTCACTGTCAACCACAGATGAGATGTAGGGTCTTTTGTTTTTAGGCTAATAGGTGCTCAGTTTTTTTAAAAGAGATTTTTTTCAAAACACCTTTTTTTCCCAGCCCAAAAGTGTTATTTTAAAATACTACCTACCTCATATCTATTCTGCCCATTACTTGTTTTGATAATGCCCACTGTATGACAGGTATTTGAGCTGCTTTTTTACCTAGCTCTATAACTTGAATTCCTTTTGATTTTTTCCTATTGACCAGCAGTTTCTAAATGGTTACCAGTGTTAAAATATTGGGTACGATTAACACACACATATATGTGTGTGTGTACATGTATATATGTGTGTGTGTATATATATACATGTCCATATTTGTGTGTGTGTATATATATGTTTTATGCATGCATTTATAGGCATTTAACACACACACATATACATTGGGGTGAGGGACTAAGTTTGTGTTTTCAAGCATGTTTTCGAGGAAGGGGGTGCAGCAGGGGCAGGAAAGCCTTTAAAGGGTTAACTGGAGTGGGCACCCTCAACTGCTGGGAGGGACTGATGTAATCACTGCAGCTCACAGCCAAGTGCATCTGTTCACCATGAGGTCATTCTTCTGCATGCTAATGATTTGGAAAATCAAGTCTAATGTTTGACATTATCGAAAAGGATATAAATAGTATAAATCTATACTATTAGGAAGCTGCTCTTATAAAACAAAAGGAGAAAAAAAGGAACATTAGCTTGGACTTGAGATGTTTTCCAGAACTGCTTTAAGGATTGTGTCTGGACCTTAAAATGTTGGTGAAATCCACTCGTTGTCTGTTGATAAAAGATCCCCAAATCACTATTTCAGTCACAACTAGCAATTTGGTAGTTGAGGACTATAGGTATGTCTAATTTAATATCTAATTTTAAGAATTTCCAAGTATCTTAGTCAGAAGTTGATGAAAATGGATTTTTCTCAAGGAATGTCTAAAAAGGGGTTCTTCTCCACATAGGGGAATTGACTGTGTTTGCTGAAGATGCCAGCACTGTTTGTGGTCCTTTCTACTTTAATATTGCTATAGGGAACCAGCAGAGGGAGCACAAATCTTTGTTTATTCGTTAGCCCTACATAAACGCAACATGTGATTTCTCTAAGATATGGTCAGAAACACTTCCTCTTTCATGATAGGCTAGATTATAAAGGCTCCAGGATTTGGAACAAGTGGGAGAAAAATTCCTCACTAGGTGCCATCAAATTCTGCCACGTTTAATATAGGTCATATTTGGAGCTTAAACCAGATTAGTCTGAGTTAGTCTCAGGATGCTGCTGCCACTGCTGCTTTTGTATAAAGCCTCATATTTTCATCTTTCATGCTCAAGAATTGCATAGGTACCCTCTTGGAAAGGTTTATTATGTTCATTTAACAGGAAAGACTTTTGTAATATTTTTGTACAACAAAACCATTATATTAAGTTCACGAAAACTATCAGAAGATTCCGCCTGGTGTCACTGGGTCTATCTGGTGGCCAATAAAATCTCATAAGATTGCAGAGGTGGTACACATTGGTCCCAAAGTGAATCTGGCATGTAGATGCTACTCAGACAACTTTTATAACTCACCAGGCTTTGCCTAGAGGAATATAGCTAGCTATACCCCAGCTCCTGCTTGCAGTGACCTCCAAACCATACACAGTGGTTACATGTGCCAGGATATTGCAGGCTTATTATTTTGCATGCAGATCCCAACATGGTCATTTTACTAGGCAGTTAGCAACCAAATTTAGCCCCAGAAAGAGCACAAATCATAACCTAACTCTGAACCCCAAAAACATGAAAGATTTTTCCAGTTCACTGAGGGTGGTGATCATTTTTCAGATTCTCTCTGTCTCTCTCTCCCCACTTCCTCCCTCTCCTTCTTCCTCTCTCCTCCTTCGCTCTCTCCTTCCTTTCCCTCCCTCTCTCTCATCTTCTCTGTTCCTCCATCCTTGTTAAAGTGGTCTTAATAAGGTTTTGATTGATAGTACTTCTTACATATTCACTTGCCTCATAAATTTGTTAAAACCGGCAAAAAGCATCAGAATGTAGAGCTAAAAGGGACTTCAGGAG